AATTCAAAGCATCATTCACAAGTGATAATGATCCAATTAAAAATGAACCAATCTAACATATATTGACCAGGGAGAATTTTTATTTACTTCCTCCAGGAGAAGAGATATTCAAGCTTGCTGCAAAATCAGCAATCTAAAATATTCGAGATTCCTAGGATACTAGACTAGATATACCGGAGTTACTATTATTGTCCCTAAAGTATTAAGTACTATCTTAAGAATCTGCTTTTATTGGAATAATTAAACAAGTAGAAAAGCATAGTGGGGAGCTAAAATAGATTAAAATTCCAACTATTTCTGCCTCTACTCGCCCTCAAGAGTCAATACCTAAAAATTATTAAGGTATTTAAGCATAGATGAATAGCGGTATCATGAGAAGATCAGGAATGTCTAATGAAAAACTTATGAAATCAAGTAGCGCTATGATAACTAAATCTAAAACAATGGCAACGCCAGCTGGAATTAAGATGGATTCTAAAGGATCAGTAAAGAATGAAAAAGAATAAATTTTTGAAGATGAAGCAGAGGAATTTGAAGATTTTGCCGAAGAAAAGAGTTTAGCAAGCCATAAAAAGTAATCAATATCAGGTTTATCTTATTGTACTAGATCAATTGGGGCAAGATCAAAAGAAACAAAAGTTTCAACTGTTTCTAATACATTCAATGCAAGTTAACAAACCTTAAATCCTCAATCAGATATCATTAAAAAGGCATAAGAATTACCGAATTTGAGCAGTTTAATAAATGATTAATCATCAGTCGGAAATTGGAATTCATAAAATCTTATTTTCAGCTACTTTTAAGAGAATAAGGTAAGTGAAGATTTTGAAAGAGATATTAAGTTGATGATAAAAGATAAAAACCTTTATCAGCAAGTGCTTTTGACTATTTTGGCATTATTTGTTTTGAGAGAGAAATTTGATGACTAAGAGGATGAATGGATTATGATTGCAAAGAAAGCAAAGACATATTTAAGAGAGTAAGGTATTGAAAAAGTTGATTAATTTTACAAGAAAATAAACATCACTATCAAAGAGTGAATGGCAAATATTTATTTAATATGCTAAAATTATATAAGCTTATTGTTAATGATTATTTGATTGATCTATTGATTTATAGATTTTCCATATTTTATTTTTAAGCTAATGATGGGGTTTTGGGGTTTTGGGG